AGTACTGGTGGGGGCAGGTCTGTGACTGTGTAACACTGGGGTACAGTGCTGGTGGGTACAGACCTGTTACTGAAGTTGGGAACAATTTAAAAAATTAGATTGAGAACAGTTTTAGTGAATCAGTGACCTGACTGCCTACTTCTGATAGGTCCTAATGTGAAGCAGTCAGATGATCTGTTCACTAATCAGCAACTGGTCCTGAAACTGTGTAAGTGTAAGAAAGAGAAAGTTTTCCTAAAACGACTATTACACAAAAAACATGCTAATAATTTGGAAAATTCTCAGTCCAGGAAAAAGTAATCCTGGTGACAACACTGGCTCTGATATTGCACTCTGTAATTGTGACAAAGATTGCTGATGGATTAATACTTGCTCAAGTCCTGACAGTGATTCTCTCTTTTTTTCCCCATCATCGTGCTATTACTTGCTTTATGAAATCATTCATCTGTTCTCTTCACCATCCATCTTTCCTTAAATTAAACATGTTACACCTTAGTCCAGTGTCTGCTAGTGGAATCTTTAAAGCTCCCATTGCTACGGTCTATGCTCCTTCTCCCTCTGGCTCTCCATCAGCTTTATACAGGAGGCACAGCACCTCCTCCATCCCCATCCGGCCCAGGGTTGGACCCGAGGAGTTGAAGCAAGCAGCCCAGTACTGCGCAGCGGGTCCTGTGGAGGTGGATGTACCGGGTCTGCGAGTGCTACACACTCAGTTTAACTCTCCTCTGCAACTTTATTCTCAACAAAACATTGTGGACAGTTTGCAGGGACAGATCTCAACACTAAGCCCTTCCGCTATCAGGTAACACGAGCTCTGCGCTATCCTCCGTGTGGGTTTTCTTTCTTTGCTGCACACTTGCACATCACCACAGCCTGGGCTCTTGTTTTGGTTTTGTTTGGTTGGGGGGAACGCTTGGATACACTCAGTATGTCACGGGTGGACAGGACGGAGTGGACGGCACTTTTACATGGATACCACGTTAGTGAGTCCTGACCTCCCCAGCCTTTCATAGAATGTACAGCGTAGAGACAGGCCATTCTGCCCATCTCTGCTGGTACTTGTGCTTCACTGTAACCATCCTTCCCTTCCTCATGTGTTTATCTATCTTCCCTTTAATGGGATCTCTGCTATTGACCTCAATCAGCCTCTATGGGAGTCAGTTCTACACTCCCCCCACCCGATGTCTGAGCCCTCACCTTCCTAAATCCCAAGTACGATTAATGGCGAAATGGAAGGAATCTCTGATCTTTGGTATTCAATCCCCCATCTTGTTGTTTTGAAGATTGACGGGACCATGAGAAATATAAAGTGGAGTTGGCAGGGTTTGCGAGTCAATGTTACTTTACCTACGCTTTCCTGTATCCACATAACAAGTGCCTGAGAGTGCTGAGAGAGTCTGGGAGATTTGATGGGCATGGAATTCCTACCCTGGTATCCCTGTCGGAGCAGGGACGTGGCTCATTCTGACTTGAGGTGATGGTGTAAAGGTTGCCTTTTTGGCTCTACATTGAACTGACGTACAGAAAGGAAAATGGGGAAGGGAAGTTTATGAATGGGTTATTAACACCTTAAGCTATGATTGCCTGAAGTCAAAATGACATCTACCCAGAGTGTTGCCAATGAGGGAGACAGCATGTTTGATCATATCTGACAAAACGCAAAATACTGTGGATGGGTAGAAATCTCAAACAAAAACAGAGAATGCTGGAGAAACTCAACAGCTCTGGCAGCATCTGCAAGAGAGAGAAACAGAATTAGCACAGTTAATAAACTGAAGAAGAGTCATATTGGACTCAAAACTCTGTTTCTTTCTGCACTGGTGCTGCCAGACCTGCTGAGTTTGTCCAGCATTCTCTGTGTTTGTTTAAGCAGATCTGAAATATGTTAAGACTGGCACGTGGAGCTCGCACATCAAGTAATTGTCACTGTTTCCTCATTCACTTTAGCTGGTGCTATGATTATTGTTATGAAACTGTGCACCCTTTGAGTCACCAGGAACTGCTTCATGGGGAGACACAGTGATGACCTGTCTAACTTTCGTGACGTTTGTTTTATCAGCATGTTATGATATGATCTGTGTGATCTTGCTGTTGATATTTGAAAAGCAACAATGATTTCATTAAGCATTCAGCAGCTGACTAATGGATAAATACAGCACCTTGTTATAATGCTGATTGCTCTCTGTTTTGTGTTGAGTTAGTTTGATCTGGCGTCAATGACCAATCTCATTGCTGCTTCACTAGGAAGTTGCCTGCAGATGTCTGGCAACTGATTGGCGAGTATTACTGAGTTTAGGTAAGTATGGGATAGGACTGGGTTGTGAACCCTCCTATGGTGGAATAATCAATGCTACTCACCAGCTGAATTTCATACGAATAAAACACTCGAGTGGGGTGTGTGTGTGTGTGTGTGTGTGTGTGTGTGTGTGTGTGTGTGTGTGTGTGTGTGAGAGAGAGAGAGAGAGAGAGAGAGAGAGAGAGAGAGATGGCCAACTCCCAAGGGAATATAATGTAGGAGCAAATTACTGCAGATACTGGAATCTGTACTCTGATGAAGAGTCACCTAGACTTGAAACTTTAGCTTGTCATCTCTCTCTCCACAGATGCTGCCTGACCCGCTGTGATTTGCTGCATGTTTTGTTTTCAGTCCCAAGGGAACACCCCCGGGAAGCTTTCTAAATGTCTTTATAGTCCAGCTCAGCACCATCCACATGTGATCTTCTCCACTGTTTGATACATCATTGCTTTCGTGTTAAATACGGTTTTGTTTTATGTTCTGTGGTTGTATTGGTGACTTTTCCCATTCAGAACTGAGAGGGACTAAGTACGTTTTCTGACGTTGCTGCTTAGAGCTGTGCATCAGCTGGTTGGAAAGTGACCAATTAATCTGAAAGTTCAAAGCCATACAAAACACTTGTCAGAGCTCAGCTGCATTATTGTATGGGTGTCACATTACAGGAAGGATGTGAACGCATTGGAGAGAGTGCAGAGGAGATTTACACAAATGGTTCCAGGGATGAGAAGACATGTAGCCTGGGTTTTGGATGAGGTTGTTGATTTGTTCGTCGAGCTGGTAGGTTGGTTTGCAGGCGTTTCATCACTGTACTAGGTAACATCATCAGTGTACCTCCGATTAAAGCGTTGTTGGTCTGTCCCACTAGTTATTTATGTGGGTCCAGTCTGATGTGGTGGTTGGTCTCATTTCCGGTTCTGCTTCATAGTGGTTGGTATAAGGGGTCTATTTCCACATGTTTGTTGATGGAATTCTGGGTTGAGTACCAGGCCCCTAGAAATTCCCATGTTTGTCTTTGGTTAGCTTGGGGAAGCCATTCAGTCCATTCATTCTGTGCTAGCATCACATTCCTGATTGGGGAGAGGTAATGGCCTAGTGATATTATCGCTGGAATGTTAATCCAGAGACCCAGATAATGTTCTGGAGACCCAGGTTCAAATCCTGCAATGACAGATGGTGGAATTTGAATTCAATAAAAATATCTGGAATTAGGAATCCAGTGATGACCATGAATCCTTTGTCAATTGTCGGAAAAACCCATCTGGTTCACCAATGCCCTTTAGGGAGGGAAAATACCATCCTTACTTGGTCTGGCCTATATGTGACTCCAGACCCACAGCAAAATATTTGAGTCTTAATTGCCCTCTGGGCAATTAGGGATGGGCAGTAAATTCTGGCCCAGCCAGCGATGGCCTCATCCTGTGAATGAATAAAGAAAGAAAAAGAAAATCTGATCAAAGGCTGTGAGGTCGGGAAGAGGGGACCGTCTTAGAGCCAGCACTGGGCTCTCCCCCACAACACCACTCTTGCTACTGATATCCCACACCACCACACCCCTCCTGCCCCTAACCCCATCCTATAAAACCTCTCCTTTTTTTTATTCACTTCTGGGAGGTGGACATCGCTGGCTGGTCAGCATTTTCATTTCCTATCCCTAGTTGCCCTTCAGAACGTGGTGGTAAGCTGTACTCTTGAACTGCTATGCTGTAGGATGACCCACAATGCCATTAGGGAGGGAATTCCAGGAATTCTGGGAATTGTCCTGCTGTTACAGTCGGGGCTGGTCCTCGATCCAGGGACCCTGGTGGGTGTCAGTGGTGCTGCCTGTTGGAAAAACTGTAGTTTTCTGAGCCGGTGACCAGCATCTCGCGGGACCCTTGGGCCTGGGGAAAGCTTTACCTGCTTGGACGTGCCTGAGAATTCATTCAGTGATGGCAGGCCTCCCAGAGGAGGCTGTGTGGGACTGTCACTGGTTTTCCAGCCAACAGACAAGAGCCCTAACACCAGCCTAGACTGCATATTGCACCACTGTGTTAACCAGTGAGTTGGTAATGGGGCTGGGTATATAGTAAGGCGCACACCTGATCTTCTGTAGTGTCTCTTTAAACATCATGCTATAGCAAACACTCTACAGAATCCATTCTGACAAGTGGAGCTCACCAGTAGAATTATAACAATTTCTCCTGATAATGGTTTGTCCAGCAAAATGCAGCAAGTGGGGGATTGTAACAAAATACAAATTTTGTCTGTACATTAATCCCATTCACTTTCAGTCATGCAGGTGTTATTGGTGAGGAATGTTCAGTCAATCGTCTCCATTCTGGTGGAAATCTGGGACTCATTGGCTGTATCCGACACAAACTTGAGCATCGCTTTCCTATCATGCTTCACTGTTAGATGCGATCGGACATAGGGGAAAACTTTGCTCAATGCTGCACTTTTCCTGATGATCAGGGAATGAATGCGGATGTCCCTAATCCTCTGGCATGTCTTTTGTTTCCATCCTGCATCCAGTTTCGAACCAGTGAAGCAGCCGTGCAGATCTGTCGTGGATACAGAGTCTGAAGTTTACAAAATGCTGCAAGAGAACCAGGAGCTGGAGGAGCTGCCCAGGCAATCCACCTCATTCCGTGTGCTGCAGGAGATCCTGGAGTCTGAGGGCAATGGTAAGATCACCGTGCCTGCAATGAGATGGACCACAGTGTCAGACCGTGCACCTTGTTATGCCTGTACTCCCGAGGGAGCTTCTCTGTTTTCTTTATTCTTTCAGCAGACATGGGTGTCCTGATGAGGCCAGCGTTTATCGCCCATCCCTGCTTGCCCTTGAATTGAGTGGATGCTGGAACAATGAATAAATTTAACGAAGGGATAGATAGATTTTTAATGAGTAATGGGTTAAAGAGTTATGGGGAGCAGGCAAGCAAGTGGAGACTGTGGCACATGTGTCTTTGAGTTTGTTTAAGGTAGAGACTGATAGAGATTTAGATTGCCCTACTGGCAATCAAAAATCTATCAGGTTACCTCTCAATCTCTTACGATCCAGTGAAAAAAAAAATCTCAGCTTATCCTTTCTTTATAACTCAAACCTTCCATACCCAGCAACTGGACACAGTACTCCAGAAGAGGCCTATATAACCTCAACATGAATTCCGAACTCCTATACTCAAAGGACTGAGCAATGAAGGCAAACAGTAGTGTAAGGGGTTATGGAGATGGGATGGCGAAAAGGCATTGAAGTGTTCGATCAGCCGTGATCATATTGAATGAGGGAGGAGGCTTGAGGGGCTGAATGGTCTTCTCTTGCTCCTGGTTCTTATGCTTGCTGAGCCATTTCAGAGCACAGTTAAGGGTCAGTCACGTCGCTGTTGGTATGGAGTCATGTGTAGGTCGGACAGGTTATGGATGGCAGATTTCATTCCCTGAAAGGGCATTAGTGACATTCTTCTAAATCCCAATGAGTATAAGCTGAATGTTTCTTCACAAGACAAATCCCATCAGGCCAGGAGTCAGCCGAGTGAAACATCTCTGAACGGCTTCCAATGGAAGTAGGTGCCTCCTTCAGTAACAGGACCAAAACTGTCCTCTATTGGCAGGGTCACCAATGCCCAGTGTAGTTGTCGGAAGATTTCCCTGCTTTAATACTTGTGATAAACGTCAACAATCCGATTTGCTTTTGTAATTACTCGCTGAAACAGCATGTTAACATTTTGTGTTTTGTTTACAATGGCACCTAGACTGCTCTGTGCCATACCATTCTGCAGTCTTTTCTCATTTGGATAATATCCTGCATTTTCATTCTTCCTGCCAAAGTAGGCAAATCACTCCATTATTACATGCTCCAAAGTACTTCAAATCCAAGGATTTTGTTTCAAAGTGCAGGCAAGTGGAGGGAAATTATTTTACATGTAGAGAGATCTCCAGCTGATAAATGAGCTGAATGGATCATCAATCACTGTTGGTTTGAAGGAAGAATTTTGGGTAGGAAAACAAGAATGCCCAGTTTGTCAATGCTCTGTCACATTGCCCAAACAGGCCAGAAAGTAAGAGATAACAAGGTGTAGAGCTGGATGAACACAGCAGGCCAAGCAGCATCAGACAAGCAGGAAAACTGACGTTTGGGCCTAGACCCAGTATTTGGTTTAACATCTCATCTGAAAGAGGGCACTAGTGTGAATGCAGCACACCCTCAATGCTATACCGAAGGACACCCCTAGTCTTGGAATAGCATTAGATTCCAAATGTCTGGAGCTGTACAAATTTTTGACCATGAACTGACAGCAGGTCTGATTCCAAACTGAACAACAGTTGCAAGACTGGGATTGGGGCTATATGGAAAGAGCAACAGTCTGACTCAGGGATAGGGGAGGGGGGTGACCGGTGCAAGGAATGGAACAAACACTGAATAAACTTGCTCCGTTGAGACTCAGTTCACAAGACAAATGCACTTAAAAGTTTATTTTTAATGAATTCTCCAGGATCGGGGAGCCAGCATCAATGAAATATCCCTAAGAGTTGTTGAGAAGATGGTGGCTAGTGTCCTGCCTCAACCCATGCAGGTCTGTCTGCTGTAGGTAGACCCAGATGTTAGGGAGAATGTCTCAGGCGTTTGACCCAGTGAAAATGGTGTAATGGTATTGCATGTCTAAGGCATGAACTTGGGTGGGGGTGTTGGGAACTGGTTTGGTGGTGTACCCATAAGTCTGCTACCTTTGTCCCTACTGTTCACGATTGTGGGTTTGAGAGATGCCTTGACTACTTGACTTAGGGATGTTAGAGATGTGGTAAATGTTGGGGGCAGTAACTATTGCAAGTATGAAATGGAATAATTTTATGACCATGTCCTCGTCTTGATGTTTTCAGAACAGCCAGATAAACCGTCTGGGTTCCGCAAAGTGAAAGCCCCTGCCACGAAGGTCGGTTCCTCGGTTGGCAGTGGGCAGAAGTTGCCCGTGTGTGAGACCTGTGGCTCTGGAATAGTGTAAGTGGGCAATACCATCCTGTGGTTGGGGGGTGGGGAATGAAGGGGGGACCCTAAAGAGGTGATACAGGGAATCATGGAGATCAGTGTTTTTTTTAATAAATGAGTTAAAAATTCTCAGCAAATATGTGGCAGGACTTGGCAGGGAGGTTTTCAGCTTACCTTAATTCCACTAGATCATTCACAAACTTTCAGGAAGGCAGGCAGAATCGGAGGCAGGGATTTTATAAAGTATCATTTTTCCTGGGCCAGTAGCTCAATTGCCATTTTATTTTGAGCAAAATGTTAATTGGTTAAAGTCGAGGCCAAGTCAGGATGATGTGTGGATTGGAGGGATTTGTGCAGGAGATGGTATTCCCATGTATCTGCTGCACGTCACATTCTCACACTTGCCCGTATGGCATCATCATAGTGGCGGGAGCTTAACGCAGTCCTTAGTATTAACTCTTCAGACCTATAATCTCACACAATGTGTACCTGAGACACAGATACAGGAGTGGTCAGCGATTTGGTTCCTGAGAGACAAGAGGAAGGTAAATCCTCTGGGTATCTGCTCCTGAATGGAAAAGGTAATTGGAAAAAGTGTACAGGTTTGGATTGTGGTGTGATGCCTAATGTGGTTGCATATCCCATCTGCACTCACCTTCTAGACTGACCAATGACCAATTCAGTAACAATTGCAAAGATGGAGATTTCTGGTCTCCATAGATCCCCACAATGCAACAGCAAGGCTCACTGCAAATTGGCCTCCATATCATTAAGCCAGAATCCAGTTCCAAATCACAGCAACGACTGAGTACTGCTGTAATCAGTACAGGTCACAGCTAGAGGGGAAAAAAGAAAACACAGGGAAACATTCTAGACACCAGGAAGGGGAGGGGAGAAAACAAGGGAGGGAAGAGACCAAGTGGGGCGAAAGTTTTACAAAATGCAAGTGATTTGGGTCGAAGCTGGGCATCAATGGCCATCCTGAATGAATTAATTTCTTGTCTCTGCAATGTTGCAGGGGGATAATTGTGAAAGTTCGTGACCAGTTCCGTCACCCTGAGTGCTACACCTGCACTGATTGTGGAACAAATCTGAAGCAGAAAGGACATTTCTTTGTTGGAGACATGATCTACTGTGAACAGCACGCCAGGGAGCGTACCACAGCCCCTGAGGGCTATGATGTCGTCACCGTCTTCCCTAAATCATAAGCCACAATCGAAAGCACTATCTTCCAAACCCTGTGAAATAAGTGACCGTGCTTGCATGCCTGCCTATGTACAGAAGATACCACTAATTACATTTGTTACACCATTTTTTGAAAAAAATAGTAACAGATTTCTGTAAGCACTCAATACAAATGCCTCTAGAATGTAATGAGACACCACTAAACTACAATTGGTTACCACTTTGTTTCCTAAGTCCTTCATATTTCATTCACCTTGTCCTTTTGGTTTGTTTTGGTCTTTTCTTGTCCCATCTGACCTCCTATGGGACTGTGCTCTCCTCACCCTCTTGCTGACCAGCGGTATAATTCCAGAGGACACAGCTCTTCCCACTTCATTGATGAGCTCTCCAGTTTCACAGCTTCATCTAAACCTTGAGTACTCATGTACAAGTTTGCTGAGCGAATATTAAAAGAGTATTGAACTGCAAGAAGCATGATTACTGAGCCAGTTCCAGTCCTCGCATAACCTTTCGCCCAATGCCTCTCGGTAAGGCTTAAGATAACAGTCTATAAGACTCTTGGGCACTTTCACATTTCTAGCAAGAGGCCAAATTAAGTTGTAGCGCAATAAAAATCAAAAGAACTGCGGATGCAAAAACAACTTGCTGGAAAAGCTCAGCAGGTCTGGCAGCATCTCAGGAAGGATCACTCAAGCCGAAATGTTAATTCTGATTTTTCTCTACAGTTGCTGCCAGACCTGCTGCAGTTTGTTTTGGTTAAGCCTGCTCAGGTCAGTTAACCTGGCATAGGTTAAACATTGAGATGGTGCTTTGTATGGATCAGATCCCCAGAGCATCAATGAAGTCGCTAGAAATAGCAACAACTTATCGCAGCATCTCCAATTACAACGTTATTTTATACAGAGGCGTCTGGAGTGTTTATAACAGTGTAAAAACATTCCAGATAGCTTCACAAGAGTGAGATCAGATTTATGTCTTAGATGAGGTGAGAAAGTTAGAGAGGAAGATAGGTTATGTATTGAATTCCTGAGTTCAGGGTTGAAGTCTTGGTCACCAGGGATGAAGTGATTTAAATTGAGGGCCTTGAATCCTACAGTCCACAGGAAGCCATTTGGACCTTAGCTCTTTCAAAGAGTTGACACGACAGCTATCTATTGACAGTAATCCGAGAAACCCTTGCTCTTTTGCCAGAATGCTGCAAATCTTTCTTTTTCAAGCATCGACTCGATTCCCTTTTGCAAATTATTACAGAGAGGATTTATAGCACGGCCGAATTAACCAGAGAGTGTGTGTGTGTGTTTGTGCGTGCTGCATAGCAAAGAGCTGTGCAATCTAACCCAACTTCCATTTCTTGGTCAGCAGTCCTGCAGGTTACAGCATTTCAAGCACATATCACAAGGCTGTTTTCAAATGTAATGATGGTTTTTTGCCTTACAAATAGTGAGTTACCAATCTGCAGCACTCTCTGGGTGAAAACCTTTATCTTCAACTCTCCTCTAATCTTGCTGTCAAATAAAGTACTTAAATCTATGCCCCTTGGTTTTTGACCTCTCTGATAACTGAGTAGGGTCCTTATTATCCACTCTGTTCAAGCCCCTCGTAATTTTATACAACTGTTAAATCAATCTGGCTTTCACTGTTCCAAAGAACATAACCTGAACCCATCAAATCTTTCCTCATTGCTAAAATTCTCCATTTCAGGCAGTATCATTGTGAATCTCTTCTGCACTCTCTGTCTCCTAATTACATATTTTCTGTAAGGTGGTGACCAGAACAACAAGCAGTACTTTAGCTGCAATCTAGCATAACCTTTCTGCTGTTATACACTGCGCCAAGAGATGTGCCTAGGGGGAGGCGGTAGTGTGGTGGTAATGTCTCCATCCTAGTAATCCCGAGATCTGGGCTAATACCTGGAAACCCAACTTCAAATCCCTTGTGCAGATCTTTGTTAAATTATACGATTTAAGGGATAAATTAAGACAGGTATTTAGACTTAGGTTATAGATCAGGCATTGTCTTATTGCCTACATTCCTATATCCCCAAACCTTTGGTGAACACTAATCTACAGAGATGGTGGTGCAGTATTAATATCACTAGATTAGTAATCTGGTGACTAGGGTGATCTACTGGAAATATGGGTTCAATTCCCAGCGTGGCAGCTGATGGAGTTTAACTTGAATTAATGAATCATAGCATCACTACAGTATGGAAGGAAGCCATTCAGCCCATCATGCTCACACCAACCATCTGAAGAGCACCCCAACTAGACCCACCCCCTCTACCCTATCCCCGTAACCCTGCTAACCTACCTAGCCTGCACATCCCTGGAGACTACAGGGAAATTTAGCATGGCCAATCCATCTAACCTGAACATCTTCAGACTGTGGGAGGAAACCGGAGAACCCAGAGGACACCCACATTGAAATGGGGGGAGTGTGCAAACTCCACCCAGACAGTCACCTGAGGTTGGAATTGAACCTGCACCCCTGGCACTGTGAACCACCATGCCACCCTTTGGAATACAAAGCTAATTTCACTAATGAGGACCATGAAACTATCATTTTAAAAGGCCATCTGGTTCACCAATGTCCTCAGGGGAAGGAAATCTACCATCCTTATTAGGTCTGTCCTAATTGCAACTTCAGACCCACAGCAGTGTGATTGTCTTTAAACTGCCCTCTGAAATGGTGTAGCAAGACACACAGTTCGAGGGCAATTAGGGATGGGCAATAAATGCTGGCCTTGCCAGTGATGCTAACATAGCTATTAAAGAATAAAAATAGCCTTCTTAAGCGCATTATTCACCTGGACTGTAACCTTCAGAGATTTATGGACATTGCACTTCAATGTCCCATGGTTTCTTGACACTTTTCCGCATCTGTTTTTTATGTATTCCTTTATCTTGTATGTCTTCCCCAAATGCAGTACTTCACATTTCTATGGATTGAAACCCTTTTTGGCAAATTTCTGACTGCCTGACAAATCCGTCAATGTCATCATGCAGCTTCCCTCCTCACTAACTTTCTTTCTGTGGTTGTATCATCTCCCAATTTTCTAACGGGGACCCCTGCATCTAAGTCTAAATCATTGATATGTGCAATAATGACGAGGGACAAGAATTGAACTCAATGGAACCCACTGGAATCAATCCAAAGAACAATTATCAATCTACTTCCTGCCACTCAAGCAATTTTGGATCGATTTGTCACTCACCTGTATCCAATAGGTTTTTTATTTTTCTGATCAGTCCATGTGGGGCATTGACCGTATATTTTTGACATGATATCAACCATTCTCCCTTCATCGGCTCTCCTTGTTAGCTCCTGAAAAGAAATTCCATCAAGTTATTCAGACACAACCTTGTCAGATAAAGTAATTATCCTTGCTTAACCAGTGCCTTTCGAAATAATGAAAGCAAAATATTGCAAGAGCTGGATGTCTGAAACCAACACAGAGCATGCTGGAGGATCTCAGCTCGCCTGACAGTATCTGTGTTGGGGGAAGCAAAGTTAACGTTTCGAATCCATTGTGACTGTTCTTCAATAGTTCTGAAGGAGAGTCATACTGGACTGGAAACATTCGCTCCGTTTCTTTCTTCACAGATGCTGCCAGCTCTGCCAGGTTTCTCCAGCTCTTTTTGTATTTGTTTCCTATTTATACAGTGATGTATCCTGTCCCTGAACAGCTTTTGCTGCAATTTATCCACACCAGGGAATGAGCAGCAATTACTCAGTCTATCCCCTTTGTCTTTTTGTTAAAACAGCATACCTGCTGCCAAGGAGCATTTGCAAATTATAGTCAAAACCTTAAATTTCTAAGTAATCTGTGTGACATATTGTTTGGAGGCTGCTAATCAATGCACTTTGAAGAATTCCTAGACAACTAAAATTATCACGTGTTTTCTTCTAACGGCCTTTTTCCTTACATTGAACTGAAAGTTAAAAAAACACGCTTTTCAGAATTGCTGAGGCGTGGAAAAGGCATCCCTAATTAATGTCTGAACTTTTATTCTAAATAGTTAGAAGTCCTGTGCATGTCAGCAGCCTATTGAGGAGGATCTTTTGCTTGTTGTCTGTTGCTATTGCTTACAAAGCCACGGAGAGCTTCTCCTGCTGGTACTTTATCTGTTAGTTGAATTTCATTGTACCGTGGATTGGTGAGCAGTCTATTTGATATGAATTAAACTCTAATGAACTGACATCCTCTCCTTAAAGGCTCTCAGTGAGCGGTGACAAACAAGCTCAGCATGCTACTTAGTTAGACAGCGAGGGAGATACGTACTCTAGCTGTGTTCTCCTTGGGTGTGCAGGTCTGTGGCCCAGAGCAGTCAGGGAGCAACGAGGGCTCTGGCTTCATTGTGCAAGAAGGGGAGTCTGCCTGTGCAGCACAATGCTAGAAGGAACTCTGGCGCTAACTATCACATGGAGCCACATGCTCTGCAGAGCCTGGGACTCAGCAGCAGCATCAAGTTCTGATACTCAGATGTAACCAGGAGAGAGCTACATTCTACTCAATGGGCAATCAATATTTTCACGTTTCAACATTTGCACAGGTTCAATCAAACCAATAAATAGTACCATACCCAAAGTGGACTGCGCTATTAATCCCTACTTGTGGGTGTGGCTCAATGGGATGGATGACACAGCAGTTATAATGTGCTCATTGATGCTCACTTTGGGTTTTGCTGGGGGCACTCAGCTCCTGACCTCATCACAGCTTTGATCCAAATATGGACAAACAGGCTGAATTCTAGAATAAGTGAGAGTGACTGTCCTTCATGTCAATGGAGCATTAGGTTGAGTGTGGCATCAGCAAGTCTCAGTGAAATTGACATCAGTGGGAAGTAGGGGAAAGCCCTCCACTGGCCGGAGTCACAAGGTTTGGAGACCAATCCTCTCAGTCCCAGTTAGTGCCTGCAGGAGGTGCTTGGTGCATAGTCATAGGCCCAATCACCTTCACTGCCTAAAATTAGAATTGGGAATGTTTGCTGATGTTTAGACACTGTCCATTCCCATTCACAACTCCTCAGAAAGTGAAATCGTTCATCTAAAATTATGAAGGGAATAGATAAGATGGAAGCAGGGAGGTTGTTTCCACTGGTGGATGAAACTAAAACTATGAGCCATAGCCTCAAAAATAAGGGGGAGCAGATTTAGGAATGAGTTGAGGAGGAACTTCTTCCAAAGGGTTGTGAATTTGTGGATTTCCTTGTCCAGTGA